CAGGCAAGCCCTCCAAATAGAGCAAAGGGAGAGGCAAACCCTCTGCTCTCTCACTCCAAACACCAGAGCCCAGAGCTGAAAGATGATCAGTCTTGCCCTGCCTGAATCTTTTAGGGCCCCTCAGCTCCTCTGCTACATGGCCCTCTTTCTTCTGGGGGCTGGTGAGTCCTGAGTTCAGGTGGGACATCCCTTGAACCCAAAGTTCTTGACTGTTGGTGGCCTGTCCATCTGTTTCTTGTGCTGGTCTCCAGTTTCTGTCTCCTTTCTTCACAGGTCCAGTGGCTGCTGGAGTCACCCAGTCCCCAAGACATCTAATCAAAAGTCGTGGGGCGGAGGCTGTTCTGAAGTGCCACCCCATCTCTGGGCATAGCAGTGTGTACTGGTACCAGCAGATTCTGGGACATGGCCCGCAGTTCCTCATTGAGTATTATGAAAAGAAGAAGAGACAGATAGGAAATATCCCTGATAGGTTCTCAGGAAAACAGTTTGATAACTACAGCTCTGAGCTGGCCATGAGCACCTTGCAGCTGGGAGACTCAGCTGTGTATCTCTGTGCCAGCAGCTTAGACACAGCCCTGCAGGGTCAATGGCTTTCTGTACTCAAACCTCCCTCTCCCAGATGAGGATATCACAGGAGAGGGAGGGGGCCTTAGCAAGTTATAGAGCTAGCTTCTTTTGCAACATCCTCCCTGCCCTGCTGAGCTCAGCCAGAGCTTTCCTGAGTGTCCTCCCAGCTCTGCCAGCACCTTGCACTTCTTAGGATATGGCAGGAACTCCTGCTGTGATGGAGTGGGGTCTATGTTGTGTGTGCTAATGCATTGAAAACAATGTGTGTCCACTTTACAGAGGAAGAAGCTCTCAATATACCATTTTATAGGCAGGAAGCTGCAGATCTTGGACATTCTGAATATATCACATATGTCAACCCTGCATCTCCAGGTTTCCAAAATCAACATTAGCCCTAGAATTCCAGGATGCTTCCTGGGCTTGGCCCTACTATCTAATAAAAGTGAAACATGCAAATTGACTATACCTCCACTATGCCCACAAGCCATGCTCACCAGCCAATCAGGAGCAAGTATGCAAATTAACTCAACCATGATGATGGTTAATTTGCATATCTAGGCACAGAGCAAAGACTGAAGACAATGTAGAAGAAAGCTAAGTGAAGCTGTGGAAAAGCAAGTGGGGCAGGAATGAAGCAGATGGGGTGGTGGCAAAGGGAGGGAAGCAGATCCTGAAGGAAGCCCTAAATGCAGGAATCTTCCTTCAATGGGCCTCTAGTTCTATATAATAAAAGCCTGCTATGCAAATTGACTAAATGGGGAATGCATGGCAGAACAACTGGTAATTATGACATGCATTGACCACCAGGAGGCAGATGCTCAACACAGGAGCTGCTTCCAGCCTGCAGGCCCTAGGCTAGCCAAAAAGGCTGCTGGTGGGGGGGTGGGGGGATGTCCGTGTGATCACCCCACTGGTCACCCTGCAGAGGGAGGCAACCTGAGGCAGTGGTGGGAGCAAGGACCAGCGAGTGGGTTACACCAGGACAGCCAAGGCAGAGCCTCGCTGGTTGCCGCACAGATAGACCCTGATCAATGGCCAGGCCATGATCACTACCCATACACAAATTTCATGCACCAGGCCTCTAGTAGGACATAACAGAGCCCTTACTTTACCATTTCAAGAGCCTCTAAGCTCGGATGGGGGAGGTCATCCATCATGTGAGGATACACAACTGATTACTATCTAACTTTAGGACACAAAACTTTACCACAGAGAATGTGCATTTGTCCTGTCCTAGTTCACATGGAGGGATGCCATTATGTCCCCCTAATAAATGAGCTAAGTAACTAGGGCAATTTCCAGATTAGCAGAAGATTCACCAAGAAAACAGAAGCCCAATAGAAATTTCAGGCAGGATTCTGGGAGTTACTGCAGGGGATCAGTGTTTCTAAACTACGGAAAGGTGTGAAGGTGGGAGGGTCTTAGCTTGCCCCCATTTTCCATCAGAACATCTTAAATTCCTACTTCTGCCTAGGACAGAAACTTCAGAAAACAGCTGAGCATCAAAGCTATTAAATGAATGATGTAGACATTTATAGACTGGTGTACAATTTTATTGGTTAATGCAGATGACTTTAATTCCACACATTTTGTTCATTTAATTCAATCACCTTATTTATTGCACATTTTCTGTGAGACAGCATATATTACCCACATTACAAGTGAAAATAATGATTGTAAGAGAGTTTGGATACTTGGCTTCAGGTGGTGCAGCTAACAAATATCAGAATTGGAACTCAAACATGGATGATACTGACTTCCACCTATGCTTTCAATCGCCCACCCTTTTGCATTTGGTAGAGAGAGGCATCTTCAAAATCAGAACATGGGCCCAAAGGTCCCTTTCAGAAATGCAGGCTCTAACACACATCGTTTGCATAATAGCTTTCACCTGGGAGGGGACCTGCTGAAGAGGAAAGAGATCCAGCTTCCCAGACCTGTCTGTTCATATTCTGACCTGCCTTGGGATGGTGACTTAGAAACTGTTTGTTTGAGTTTTTATATTTGTAAACCGGGGCAAATAATGCACAAGCAAATACAACAAATTGCTTAATAAATAATAAAGGCTCAAGTCCTCTTTGTACTCTATAAACACTGTGACCGATCTCTAGTCTAGCACAATTATTTACTATGTGAAGTTCTGGGATCAAAGGCAGCCATGGGTTACTTTAACTGACTCATCTATGGTTCAGATAGACACTCCTCTGAAATGCAAATACTGTCATCTGATAATTTATTAAGTGAAATCAAGGTGCCTCTTCAGAGAAAATTAAATAGGACAGCACTTCCTGTTTGATGTTAAGTCTGATGTACAAGAAGATGTGGTGCTTCAAAAAGTTGTGGCTTTCGAGATTGGTGATCACACAGAGGAAATGATAGAAGTTTGTGTGAAGAAAGACCATCACAGTGGAGATTCTAGTGCCAATCCATCCATCCCACCTTGGTATTAGCCTCAGCTGCAGTGAACAATTACATGTAAGTTTGTGTGCATTTACCTGGTTCTGACAGCACCCCCTCACCTGCAGGCTGGGAGTCCCTCAGCTTTCTACTCTGGCCTCCTCTTTATCATGGGATCCCATGTGGCTTGCACATCAGTGCAGTCAGAGCTGCAGAAGTGCTAACTCTCCTGGAGAGAAAGGAGCCAGGGATGAAAGCTCAGCCTCTGTGTCCAGGACAGCTCAGTAGGTGGTCAGTGCTTCTCTGCAGGTTCCAACAAAATCCATCTCCTGATGTCCAAGCACAACTGCAATATTGCACCTTATTCTGATTTTCTCCTTCCATGACCTTTCCTCCCTGCTCTCTTACTCATGCTTCCAGAGACTACTTGCATCTAAATCCTCATCTTAGACTGTGCCTCCAGGGGCAGCCTAAATGGTGACAGCGATGGAAGGAAGTGACCATCAAAGGACCCATCCCTTTACAAGAGACTGTCATTTTTATCTCATTAATTCTGCCATCCAAACATTCAAAACGTCTTATAACAGCAAGTATAAATAAAAAATTTCCTGTTCACTTTGTCTTATTTTGAATAACTAGCAGAGTCACATGTGTCTCTGCTCCCTCCAAGCTCTGAACTATTCGTAACTGGCTAGACTGGGTTATGTATACAGAAGTGGTGTCTCTCTGAACTCTGATAACCATTCATTCCTTTCATTCAAGAAACACTAATTGATTACACATACAGAGTAGCTTGGACTTGGTGGGAATGTATCCTTATAAAAATTTATGGTGCTTTTCTAAAAAGAAAATAGAAAAATATTTAAAAGTTATGAACAGTTTCCGTGCAAATGAGAAGGCCTGAAATTATTCTTTATTGTCTCCATGGCCTATCCAGTCTTCACTACTTACCATGTACATGCCTTATTCAGGATCTTGGGGAAAATGTGCAAGAACATAAAGAGAACAAAAATCTTTCTAATGAGGTACATTTTTATTCAACATCAAATTTGCGACTCTCATTCATTAATTAGAAGAGAATCGCAAAGGAACTATTCTTGGTAAATGTTTATCTCCCGAAAGAAATTAAGGTATCATTGAGAATATAATAATAATATGGGTAGATGATACCTTCTTATGAGAACAGTCCACAGATCTTTGCGATTTCATGTGATCTAACCCAAACAATCTGACTCCTAGCTGAAAACTCTTTTTGCCCCCGCATTGGCCCCGCCTAGAAAGTAGGCTTCTTTGCTGCGTGTCTCTTATTCCCCTGGGACCAGTTAAGTCCTGGATAAGATGCAACGGCCCTTCCTGAGTTTGCCAGGCCCCAAGCTGGAAGCCTTTTCAGGAGATAATGCATCAACCTCCTCCTCGCCTCTGATTTCTAATTCCATGTTCTTACTGTTGTGTGATTATTATTTGCCCATTGAGATGACATCAATATATGCATTCACAGAAATAGATGACCTCACACTGAAATATAACCCATATAAGAAACAGAAGCTCTTCCTAATATTGACTAGCTGCAAGCTTGGCACTGTAGCACATTTATGATTCAATCAATATTCTCCAATTTGGTGGGTGCAAGACCTTCTTGGAGACATAAGAAGTATATAGCTCAGGATGAGTAGCTCATCCACATTGCTTCCTCTTTTTCACAAAAAGCACAGTCACAGGGTTGCAGGTAAAACAGTCTTCCATGGCCTCAGCTGAAATCAAGGGAGAACTCTCACCCATGAGCATGAAGAGACCTCAGCAGGGCTCCCATCAGTCAGTGAATTGTGAAACAACGTAAAACAAGTCTTCAGATCCCAATGACCCTGACCTTGGGGCTTTGAAAACTTCCTGGACATCAGGTGGTTCCTGTAACTGAGAGGATCATTGATTTGTTCCTGTGGGGAAGAGGTGTGGCAGGTTAACTCTACAGCTCAAGCTTTTATCAAGGACAGTGACATCACTCAGTCTATTTTCTCAAAACAAAACAGGAAGACATGAGATTCTGCCCTGAAATGGTCACCAGGCTCTGCTTCTATGTGGATCTTTGTCTCCTGTGGGCAGGTGAGTACAGGTGGGCTTCCTGCCCTGGATACCCCAGACCTCTCAGCCTAAGCCTTTGTCTTAGGATGACAAAATCAGGTCTGTGGCTTTCTTTACAGGAAACCTGGATGCCCGAATCACCCAGAGCCCAAGTTACAAGGTTGTGGAGACAGAAAAGAATGTGACACTGAGTTGTCACCAGACTAATAACCACGAAGTTATGTATTGGTATCGCCAAGACCTGAGCCATGAGCTGAGGCTGATCTATTACTCAGTTGGAGCTGGGATCACTGCCAAAGGAGACGGTGCTGATGGGTACAGTGTCTCTAGATCAAATACAGAGTACTTTGTCCTCACACTGGAGTCAGCGATGCCCTCCCAGACATCTGTGTACTTCTGTGCCAGCCGTGAAGCCACAGCATTGCAGGGCCACCTCTTCTCTGCACGAAAAGCCAGAAGGAGGCCCTGCACCCTGGACTTAGGGGAGCCCTAAACGAACTTTACACCACGGAGCCCCTGTGGCCTGAGACCATAGATTGAACCTCTGTGTGTGGTGAAGTCCACCTCCAGAGTATTATCTGCCAGATCTGCATCAGGCCCAGGGCCTCAGACACCTACTTCCCCCTGTTGCTGTCTATCAGACTAACATCTGCAGATGGCCTGTTACATGGGAAGATGCTTCCCTTGCTTTAGGTTTTCACCTCATCACACTAGTGTCTTAAAGGTCAATAAAATGGAGTCCTCTTCCAGAAAGAAGCTATAGGAACATATTGTTTACTGCATGGCAACCAAGAAGGACATAAGACATTGCTATGAGCTGTAGAGAAATAAAAATAAATGGAGGTTAATGAACACAGTGAAGGCACTTGGTTGTGACCTGTAGAAACAACAGGAACTTCTGATTATGTGGGACAATATTTTTTTCTTTCTTATTGTAGTTAAATGAATGAAGTATCTCAAAACTGCTAGAATCTTAGAAGATATAATTAGTTAATTAGTATCAGTGATGTCACTATGGGAACTGCCTGTGCAGAGAAGGAAGTCCCTCCTCCTCTGCTCATTCTCACAAGGACCTTGTGAACCGCCCATTCCTGCCCTCACCCTGCCATGGGCACCAGACTCCTCTACTGGGTGAGTCTCTGTCTCCTAAGGGCAGGTGAGTCCTCAGAAAACCAAACACTTTCCGTGTGTGTGTGTGTGTGTGTGTGTGTGTGTGTGTGTGTGTATTACAATTATTTGTCCTCATTCTATTTCCAAATCTGTCTCCACAGGTCACACATTTGCTGGAGTGTTCCAGTCCCCCAGGCACAGAGTCACAGAGAGGGGACAGAATGTCACTCTGACTTGTGATCCAATTTCTGGACATACCTTCCTTTACTGGTACCAACAGACACTGGGGCAGGGCCCAGAGTTTTTGCTTTACTTCCAAAACAAGGAGGCCCTAGACAAATCGGGGATGCCTAAAGAGCGGTTCTCTGCAGAGAGGCCTGATGGCTCCTACTCCACTCTGAAGATCCAGGGTGCGGAGCAGCGGGACTCGGCCGTGTACCTCTGTGCCAGCAGCTTAACCACAGCGCTGCAGAGTCACCCTCTTCCTGCTCTCAAACCCTCATGTGCTCACCTCTCCTCACAGTTCCCAAAGTCCTTAACAAAGGAGTGGATTAAGTGAATTGGGACTTTGTTTTTTTCTGATAGTGGAAGGTCAGGAAATGACCTTTGAAATGCCAGGGACCTTGGGTAATAATATTCTGGCTGTGGATTTCTGGGATTCCTTTATACAGTTCAAGATTGAGTACCCCATCTGAGTGTAAGGAATTGTGGAATCTTCTGTAAAACATAAGATTTCAACACATTTACAATAAACTCCCGGTACTGAGTGTCACTGACTCAGATCACATTAAGCTCTTGTGTGGGCAGCCAATGCAGAGCACTGTCAAAGCCCCATGCAGCCACCAGCCTTAAAATACATAAATTAGAATCCTTAGTAAGAACTGTCATTGAGATCAATTGTCCAGGAGCACCTGTCACGCACATTAATGCACATTAAAGTATGTCTATATATTGTTTTAGTATTTTTCTCCGCAATTCGGCAGTCTTCTTTAATCTTTTTTTAAAATATCATTTTAAAGGAAATTTAGAGGAAAGGAGAGGGAGAGAGAGATAGAAGCATTGATTGGAGAGAAACATCATTTGGCTGCCTCCAGCAAACCATCACACTATGGATCTAGCCTGTAGCCCAAGCATGTACCAATGGAAATGAACTGGGAACTTCTATTATAAGTTCATGGATCAAGGCACAACCACTGAGACACACCAGGCAGGGTCTAATGTGTTTTTACTAAAAATTTTAAATTTAGCTTTGTTTAATAAAAGCCCTACTTGAGTAGGCGTTAAAGAAAAATGGTTTAAAGAAGATCTGAATAACAGTTACACTGGTCCCCCTTATACAGAAATAACCCACAGTTGATGTCTGAAACCACTAATAGTACCAAACCATATATATGTATGGTATATGTTTTACCTTATACATGCACATATTTTTACTTAAAAGAAGCACTTTATGATATCTCTTTGGCATGTCAGAATTGCCAGCATCACTACTCTTGTGCTTTGGGTCACTCTTAAGTGAAATAAGGGTGACTAGAACACAAGCACTGTGATGTTCCTGCCCTCAGTGTGATAAGAGACAGCCATAAAGCGTCTAACACCGGGCTGTGCAGACAGCCTTGATACGCTGGAGAAAGGATGGCATATGTTCCACCTGGGGTGGAAGGAGACGGCACAAGATTACATCAGGCTATTCAGCATGGTGCTCAAGTAAAAACTTGGGAATTGTTTATTTCTGGAATTGACCATTAATAATTCTGAACAGTGCTTGACTGCTGGTAACCGAAACTGGAGAAAGTGAAACTGCATGTAAGGTGGGAATACTGTATGTAAAAACAATAGCAAGACAGAGAGTAGATAAATAGACAAATATCTTACCATTGTGAAGTTTTCCTAATCTATGTCCGGTAGTATAATATCACTTGAAGGTAGACTATGTTAAAGCAGATATGTGAATTGCAAACCTAGAGCCACCACCAAAATAGCAAACACAGAGTCATAACTAATAAGTCAACGAAAAAAGAAAAAATGGAATTATTTAAGTGTTCAGTTAATACACAAGAATACATAAGGAGAAGTAAAGAGAAAAAAATCAAAAGATGAGGCTAATGCAGCAAATAGCAAAATCATAATACATACTAAAAACTAGATCAATAGTCATATCAAATCAAAGTAGTCTCAATGTCCAAATAAAAAGCACAGGTTGTGATTTTGAGTAAAATTGAAAAATCAACAACTGTATACTGCCCACCAGAAATGTACTATGAACATAAAGACCCAGAACGTAAAAGTAAATGAGTGAACAAGGTATACCATGCTAACACTAAGCACAGGAAAGCTGGAGCAGCAATAATAACATCAGACAAAGTCAATTTCAGAGCAAAGAATGTCATCTGGGATAACAAAGCTCATGTTCTAATGATAAAAGGGCCAATTTAAGAAGACATAACAATCATTAACATTTTTTCATTTAAAACAGAGCTTCAAAACATTGAACAAAAATAGGAAGGAGAAATAGACCAATTCACAATTGTAGTAAAACATTTCAACACCTGTCAGTAACTGATTGAACAACTTGACACGCACACCCCAATAAAATCACTGAGGATACAGAAGACATCAAAACATTATTGATCACCTTGGCCTAATTCACATTTATAGACCAGCTCACCCACCAGCAGCAGAATACACATTCTTACCAATTGCACATGGACCATGGACCAAGATGCTATAAACTTTGGACATAAAATAAGTATCAATACATTTAAAATAATTCGAGTCTTATAAAGCATGTTTTCTGACCGCAGATGAACTAAGTTAGAGAAAAAAAAAAAAAAAAAGAGTTCTAAAAAATCCCAAATATTTGTAAATGAAGTAACAATCTTCTAAATAACCCATGGGGCAAAGAAAAAATTAAAAGGGAAATTATGAAGAGATTTTAATTAAATTAAAATAAAATATATCATATTAAAATTGGTAGGATGCTACCTAAGGAGTGTTTAGTGGGAAAGCTGGAAAGTAGGGAATAATTTCCTACATCCTGAGTAAGTCCTTTCTAGAAATTGCCTTTGGTTAAAGATAACGTTTCACCCTAGCCTAGATGGTTTGGTTCAGGGGATAGAGCATTGGCCTGGGGACTGAAGGGTCCCAGGTTCAATTGGGTCAAAGGCACATACCAAGGTTGTGGGCTCAACCTCCTGTAGGGGGCGTGCAGGAGCCAGCCAGTCAATGATTCTCTCTCATCATTGATGTTTTTTATCTCTCCCTCTCCCTCTCCCTTCCTCTTTCAGAAATCAATAAAAATATTTTGAGAGAGAGAGAGAGAGAGAGAGAGAGAGAGAGAGAGAGAGAGAGAGAGAGAGAGAGAGAGTTTTCTCTACCGCTTCCAAGGGCAGCTGCATGTCCTCTTTCCCAGAACACTCATTGATGTGATTTAGACTTTGTTTGTGTTTCCTTCTTAGAAAAATGCACCATGCCTCCCTCAGTGCCAACTGCAAAAGATGAGCTGAGATAGGTAAACATCACATCAGCAGAGTTTGCAGTGTCCTGGCTGGTCCTGCTCCTAATTCAGACAGAATCCAGCCAGCCTGGGCAGGGTCAACACTGTTAATGCACAAGTGGCCACCTGGGGGCACTGTGGATCCACGGAGTTGGCTGCTGATGGGGCCCTGTGGGACAGGGAGGGTTAAGGGACAGACTCTTGGTTTAGTCTCTACATCAGGGAGACTATCTGATGAATCAGAGGTTTGCTGATCATATCTTCTCATATGAACTGCTATGCAGGTGTGTTGTCACATCAGGGAGCCAGAAGGTTGGCTTTGCCTGGAGTTAAGCTCTCTCTTGAAGCCTATCTTTAGTGGAGAGTGTGATGGAGCATCTTTCAGTGGGGCAGCCTGGATAATTCACATCACATGTAGAGCAAGGAACACCTACTCTAAGGAAAACAGAGAAATAATGGTCACCTGCCACAAACCCTGCCTCATCCAGCTCAGCACAGCCAGTGGCACCTGCTCAAAGGAAGATGGAGAGAAAGGGGAATGCCTGGGCCATTTGAGCCTGTCCAGGAAGTGCAAGTTGCCATTGGGAGCCTACAAGGATAGTGACATCAGAACAGTGACATCACAGGAAAACCCTCCAAGCAGAGCAAAGGGAGGTGCAAAAGCCTCTGCTCTCTCACCCCAAACACCAGAGCCCAGAGCTAGGAGATGGCCAGTATTTTCCTGCCTGAATTTCCCAGGGCCCCCCAGCTCCTCTACTACATGGCCCTCTGTCTTCTGGGGGCAGGTGAGTCCTGAGGTCAGATGGGACATCCCTTGAACCCAAAGTTGTTGATTGTTGCTGGCCTGTCCATCTGCTTCCTGTGTTGGTCTCTAGCTTCTGTCTGCTTCCTCCACAGGTCCAGTGGCTGCTGGAGTCACTCAGACCCCAAGACACCTAATCAAAGGCCAAGGGAGGATAGCCATTCTGAAGTGCCACCCCATCTCCGGACACAACTATGTGTACTGGTACCAGCAGGCTCCAGGACAGGGCCCCGAGTTTCTCATTAGTTTTTATGAAAAGGCGGAAAGAGAGAAAGGAAACATCCCTGATCGGTTCTCAGGAAAACAGTTTGATAACTACAGCTCTGAGTTGGCTATGAGCGCCTTGCAGCTGGGAGACTCAGCTGTGTATCTCTGTGCCAGCAGCTTAGACACAGCCCTGCAGGGTCAATGGCTTTCTGTACTCAAACCTCCTTGTCCCAGATGAGGATGTCACAGGAGAGGGAGGGGCCTTAGCAAGTTATAGGGCTAGCTTCTTTTGCAACATCCTCCCTGCCCTGCTGAGCTCAGCCAGAGCTTTCCTGAGTGTCCTCCCAGCTCTGCCAGGACTTGGCAATTCCTAGCACATGGCAGGAACTCCTGCTGTGATAGAATGGGGTCCAAGTTGTATCTACTAATGCATTTGTCAGCAATGTGTGTCCACTTTACAGAGGAGGAAGTACTCAGTATGCCATTTTATAGACAAGAAGCTGCAGCTCCTGGACATTCCAAATATATCTTAAATGGCAACCCTACATTTCCAGGCCTCAGAAGTCAACATTCCCCCAGAATTCCAAGGTGCTGCCTGGACCTGGTCCATAGAATATAGCTGAGCCCTGTCTCTCCCCTCAAGAGCATTGGAGCTGGGATGGAGAGGTCAGACCTCATGTGTGGTTGCAAAGGTGATTGCCTGGCAACTTATAAGACACTAGAGGCCTGATACACAAAATTTGGCCTGACCAGCGATCAGGGCCGATCTAGAGGGTGACTGATCAGGCAGTCCGTGGGATGGGGGAGGGGGTCTGGCACCTGCCTTGGCTGCCTTGTGGCCTGTGACTGGGAGCAGCTCCTGCATTGAATGTCTGCCCCTGGTGGTCAGTGCATGTCATAGTGACAGGTCGTTTCCCCAGTTGTTCTGCAGTTCAGTCGACTTGCATATTAGGTTTTTATTATATAGAACCATGGTCAGCAAGTGGCGACTCTCGAGCCACATGCGACTCTTTGGCCCCTTGAGTGTGGCTCTTCCACAAAATACCATGTCCTGGGTGAGTCTATTTTGAAGAAGTGGCATTAGAAGAAGTTTAAGTTTTAAAAATTTGACTCTCAAAAGAAATTTCAATCATTGAACTGTTGATATTTGGCTCTGTTGACTTATGAGTTTACTGACCCGTGATATAGGATAGTACTTCAAGCCAGAGAACATGCATCTGTCCTGTCCTAGTTTACAAAGAGGGAAGCCATGATGTCCCTCTAAAGAGGAGCTAAGTGACTATGATGATTTCAAGCTACCAGAAGATTCACCAAGAAAACAGAATCTGACCAGGAATTTCAAGCAGAATTCTGGGACTTACTACAGAGAATCAGTGTTTCTAAACCACTGGAAGGTGAATGAAGGAAGGTCTCAGCTTGCTCTCACACTCGGCACTTTCAAGCAGATAATCTGAAATCGCTGCATCTGCCCAGTACAGGAACTACAGAAAAGAGCTGAGCATCACTGCTCTTAAGTGAATGGTGTAGATAGACTTTTACAGACTGGGGTACAAGTTTATTGATGAATGTAGATGACTTCAATGCTACTCATTTTGTGCATTTACTCCAGTCACCTTATTCATTGCTCATTTTCTGTGAGGTAGCACAAATTACCAGGTTACAGGTGAAAACACTGATTGCTAAAGAGTTTGGACACTTTTCTATAGAGGCATGACTAACAAATATAGGAACTGGAACTCAAACATGGGCCATTTTGACTTCCACCCATGTTTTAAATCACCCCGCCCTTCTGCTCTTGGTAGAGGAAGGCATCTTCAAAATGAGAACATGAATCCAAAGATTCCTTTCAGAAACTCTGGCTCTGACACAAATCATTTGCATAACAGTTTCACCTGGAAGGGGACCTGCTGAAGAGGAAAGAGATCCAGCTTTGGGAACCTGTCTGTTCATGTTCTGACATGCCTTGGGGTGGTGACTCAGAAAATATTTGTCTGAGTTTTTACATTTGTAAACGGGGGCCAAAAATTGGTGTCTTGAAGAGATTTAAAACAAGCAAATGTAACACATTGCTTAATAAAAATATATGCTTAAGTAATTTTTGTTCTTTAATAAACTCTGTGACAAATCTCTAGTGTAGAAAAATTATTTGCTATGTTCAGCTCTGGTATCAAAGGCAGGCCTGGGTTACTTTTGCTTGACTCATCCATGACTCAGAGAGAAATGCTTCTGAAATGCAAATACTGTTGTCTGATTATTTATTGGGTGAAATTAACTACCGAGAGGTGCTCTTAGGAGAAAATGAAAAGGTGACTCAGGACAGTACTTCCTGTTTGATGTTAAGACAAGTCTGATGTACAAAAAGGTGTAGTGCTTCCAGAAAGTTGTAGCTTTGAAGTGACTGGTGATCACCCAGAAGAGCTGATAGAAGGGACAGTTTTGTGTGAAGAGAGACCATCATATTGGAGCCTCCAGTGCCGTCCACCCATTCCTGGCCCACGTCTGGTATCAGCCTCAGCTGCAGTAAACAATTACATGCAAGTTTGTGTGCATTTACCTGGTTCTGACAGCACCCCCTCACCTGCAGGCTGGGAGCCCCTCAGCTTTCTGCTCTGGCCTCCTCTCTATCATAGGAGCTCAGGTGGCCTGCACAGCAGGGCAGTCAGAGCTGCAGAAATGCTAACTCTCCTGAAGGGAAAGGAGCCAGGGATGAAAGCTCAGCCTCTGAATTCAGGAGGTGGTCTGTGTGCTTCTCTGCAGGTTCCAACAAAATCCATCTCCTGATGTCCCAGCACAACTGCAATATTGCACCTTATCCTGGTTTTCTCCTTCCATGATCCTTCCTCCCTACTCTCTTACTCCTGTTTTCTGAGATCATTTCCAAAATAAACTACTTGCATTTAAATCCTCATCTCAGATGGGCCTTCAGGGGCAGCCTAAACAGTGACAATGATGGATGGAAATGTCCATCAGAAGTCTCTTCTCTTTGGAAGAAACCGCCATTTTTGTTTCATACCTTCTGCCATCCAATCATCCAAAAAGTCTTATAAAGATAAAGTTTTATAACAACAGGTATAAATGGATTTTTCCCAGTTCACTTTGGTTTATTTAAAATTCCCAACAGACTCGCATGGGTCTTTGCTCCTTTCAAGTTCTGAACATACTTGTGACTGACTAGACTGAGTTATGTTTAGAGAAGTGGAGTTTGCCTGGACTCCAATAACCATTCATTCCTTTCATTCAACAAACACTAATTGAATTCAGGTAAAGCGTCATTTGGGCTTGGTGGGGATGTATTCTTATAATTAGGGTGCTTTTCTAAAAAGAAAACAGGAACATATCTAGAAGTCTTAAACAGTTTCTGTGCAAATGGGAAGGCCTGAAATTATTCTTTAGTGTCTGTACAGCCCATCTAGCCTTCACTATTTATCATGTACAGGCACTATCTAGGAGCTTGGGAGACACCTATGCAAAAACACAAGGACCAGTAAAAAGCTTTCTGATGACATATCTTTTTTATTCAACTTCAAATTTATGACTCTAATTTATTAATTTATAAGAAAATTACAAAGGAGCTATTCCTAGTAAATGCTTATCTTACTAAAGTAATTAGGTGTATTATTAAGAATACTAACAATATGGATAGATGATATCTGATTGTGAGAACAATCTTTAGATCTCTGGGATTCCATGTACTCTAACCCAAACAATGTGAGTCTTAGTAAAAACTTATTCTATTTTGCACTTATCCAGCCTGGTATGCAGGCTCCTTTGCTGTGTGGCTCTTTTTCCTTGGAGACCAGATAAGTCCTGGATAAGATATAAAAGCTTTTCCTGGGTTGGTCAGGCACCAACCTGCCAGTCTTTCTATGCGATGGTTATCAATTTCCTCCATGTCTCTGATTTTTGCTTCCTTGTTCTTTCTCACTGTTGTGTGATTATAGTTGCCCATCGAGATGTCATCAGTATATGCAATTACAGAGATGGGGATACCTCACACTGAGATATAACCTGTATAAGAAATAGCAGCTCATACTGATATTGACTAGTTGCAAGCATGGCACTATAGCTCATTTATGAGTTAATCAATATTCTTCCATACTATGTATGTGTGGGGCGGGGGGGGGGGGGGGAGGAGAGGAGGTGGGTGCAAGACTTCTGAAAGGAGACAGAACATTTTCTTGTGATTTTGCAAGCATCAGAAATGTGTACCTCTGGCTGAATATCTCATTCACCTGGCTAACAAGCCTCCTCTCTCTTTAACAAAAAGCACTGTCATTGGGAGCTAGGTAAAAGTGTTCTGTGGGCTCAGCTGAAACCAACGGAGACTATAGAAATCTGAACATGGAAGGCAGGGCTCCCATCAGTCAGTGAATTGAGAGACAAAGCAAAACGAGTCTTCAGATTCCAACGACCCTGACCTTGAAGCTTTGAAAACTTCTTGGACATAAGGTGGTCCTTTGGTAACTGAGAGGTTAATTGATTTGCTCCAGTGGGGAAGGGTGTGGCAGTTAGTACTGCAGAAAAATCATTTGTCAAGGACAGTGACATCACTGTGTCTATTTCCTCAAAACAGAACAGGAAGACATGAGATTCTGCCCTGAAATGGTCACCAGGCTCTGCTTCTATGTGGCTCTTTGTCTCCTGTGGGCAGGTGAGTACAGGTGGGCTTCCTGCCCTGGAAACCCAAGACCTCAGCCAAAACCTTCATCTTAGGATGACAACATCAGGTCTGTGACTCTCTCTTTACAGGAAACCTGGATGCCCGAATCACCCAGAGCCCAAGATACAAGGTCACAGGGACAGAAAGAATGTGACTCTCAGCTGTCACCAGACTGATAACCACAACGTTATGTACTGGTATCGCCAAGACCTGGGCCATGGGCTGAGACTGATCCAGTACTCATATGGTGATGGCAGCATTGAAAAAGGAGATGTCCCTGATGGATACAGTGTCACTAGGCCAAATACAGAGAACTGTGCCCTCACACTGGACTCAGCCACCCTCTCCCAGACATCTTTGTATTTCTGTGCCACCAGTGAATCCACAGTGGTTCATGGCTGACTCCTCTCTACACAAAAAGGCAGGGGGAAGCCCTGCATCCTGTCTCCACAGAGCCCTACACAAACTAATAAGGAGCCCCCAGTGGCCTGTGCCTGCAGGGTGAACTTCAGAGAGTGCTGAGGTCTACCTGCAGGGCAGTGTCTGCCAGGCCTGGACCAGACCCAGGACACCGGGCACACACTCCCCACTGTTGCTGTCAGTCAGTCTGTCCTCTGCAGCTGCCCTGTGACCTGGGAAGGTGTTTCTCCAGCTCTAGGTTTTCGCCTCATCAACCTGAATCTGATGCATCCAGGGTGGAAAGTCATAGGAAAACAAAATCCATCTAGACCCTCTTGTATATTACACACTAGTGTCTTCAAGGTCAATGAAGTGGAGTCCTCTTCCATAAAAAAGCTATAGGAAACATACTGTTTACTGCATGGTGACCTAGATGGACATGAGGCTTTGCTATGGGCTCAGGAGATATAATGTCACATGGAGGGTAATGAAGACAGAAAGGGCACTTGGTCGTGATCTGCAGAAAGAATAGGAGCTTCCAACTCAGATATTTTCCCAGGGTGTCATTCTATTTTTTATATCTCCAAATACTAGTGCATTTCTGGGCAAAGCCAAGACAATAACAGATGCCCACCCTTGATTAAGAAATGGATAAGGTTGAGCATATGTGACTGGTTGAGAAGATGGTATGGTTATAGAAACAGGGGCAGGTGCAGACAGAGAGGTAACTGTCTCAGAGAAATGAGGGAAACCAAAAGGAGGGGTGTTCCCTAAACTCAGTGCATCACAGACACACCATATCTCTCCTGCAGGCCCTGCTGAGCTATATTTATGAGAGGAGTTGCTGATTCAACCTGAGTCAAGTTCAAACTAATCCTGGGCCGTGGAGCCTCTGCTGGAGTGGGGGGCAGTGACATCCCAGGCAGTCTTGTCTTCCCACTGGAGAAAGGCCCCTGAGCTCCCTCTCCATCTCTGGGTCAGAGCATTTAGCTGGGGCTTCCCCATCTCACCCTGACCTGGCCATGAGCTCCAAGCTCTTCTGTGTGATGCTTTGTCTCCTTGTAGCAGATGAGTTCTTTCAGTGTACATGTTTATGTGTCAGTGCAAATACCACTTAATGTTATTTACTTGATTCGGAATATTCTGGTAATTAAGTAAAGCAGAGAAACAGTCACATTCAACATGAAATTTATATTTTGTGGCTACTTGGAAAAGCTGTTCCTGTCAGCAGATGATCCATTTACAGAGAGAGGCCATGTATTAGTCCTTGAAGAACTGTGAGTATCTCTCTGGGTAGAAACAATAGAATTGTCTAGAATGGCCTAATAATAGACCAAAACCCCAGATTTGCCTGAGATATCAATGCTTTAAAAACTAATGGTGAAGCTACTGTGGCTCAGTGGTGGAGCATAGACCTATGAATTAGGAGGTCACAGTAGGATTCCTGGTCAGGCACGTGCAGGTTGGGGGCTCCATCCCAGTAGGGTGCATGCAGGAGGCAGGCATTCAATGATTCTCTCTCATAATTGAGGTTTATGTCTCCCCCTCATATATATTTTAAGAAGACTAATGTAATTTCCTTTCCTTAGGCAGAAAAGACTGAAAATAGACTCATTTCAAAGAGTAGAACACTAAAAGTCCTGGAGTGAGAATATCTTCCTGAGACAACAGCATTTATTTCCACTTATTTGTAATAACCTTATTTGAAAAGCTATGATGTGTTCATCAACCCTGGGGTAACCCCACAACCAACATTGCAATTCTACTGTCACTTGTATTAAAAACACAAACTGAACATGTCTAGAGCCTATGGAAATGTAACTTGTTTCTATTGAGTTTGGAAATGCTGGCACTAGAGGGCGCTCATTTACCTTCCTTTTCAGATAAAAGGGAATTATTCACAGGCAAGACCTAGAATGAGGGGTCAGAGCCTCCGCTCTCTTGTAATTTGGGGACACTTATTTATTTTAGAACTGACTTGCAAACACAGGAGGTATTGTGATAAGGAGTTAAGGGCAAAAATGAATTAATAATTGAGGGTATTGTTGTTTGACCTGCAACGTTTATAGGAGGATCTAACCAACTTAGACCAGTACCCACCAGAGGCACCATTTCATCCCCAGCAGCTTTGAACTGTGAATTCAAACTGCTTTCATGGCAAAAAGCAAAGACTTGACAATTCTACCGTCTTTCCCACCTTTTCCTTCCCACATATCCCAGTGCTGCCCAAATCCTGGGAAGGACCATCAAAATGCAGGATGAAGGTTAGAAATAAGAGAGCTCAGAGAGAAGGTGATAAAGTCATCATTTTAGTCCTCAACTGTCAAGTGCCATTGAATGCAGTGAATATGTCCAACTGACAATGTGGAGGAACAAGAGACATGAGAAGGCTGGCCACATAGGGAGTGTGGGATCCAGGGAATAGACCACCGGAGCTCAGAGGGATGACAACCAAAGCAATCAGTGTTGACTTACATTCACTTTTGAATTACTATTGCTCATTCATTCTTTGTTTCATAATTTTCTTCTTTTAACATTTCTGATGATGAGCGACAATATTTTTTTCTTTCTTAATAGGAATAAAAAGAAATCCTAAGGCAATCCTAAGGCTCAGTGATGTCACTATGGGAACTGCCCTGTGCAGACTAGGGAAGTCCCCCCTCCCCTGCTCATGCTCACAAGGACTCTAACCTAAGTAACTTCCCATTCCTGTCCTCACCCTGCCATGGGTACCAGGCTCCTCTGCTGGGTGAGCCTCTGTTTCCTGGGGGCAGGTGAGTCCTCAGAAATATCAAGCACTTTCATTATGGTGTGTTTGTATGTGTGTGTGCATGTGTGTGTGTGTGTGTGTGATTATTATAATTGTTTTTCTTCAATTCTATTCCCAAATCTGTCTCCACAGGTCACACCAATGCTGGAGTGTCCCAGTCTCCTAAGCACTTAGTCACAAAGAGGGGACAGAATGTCAATCTCACGTGTGATCCAATTTCTGGACACCTGTCACTTTATTGGTACCGACAAACACTGGGGCAGGGCCCGGAGTTTTTGATTTACTTCCAAGGCAAGGAGGCCACAGATGAATCAGGGATGCCTAAAGAGCGGTTCTCTGCTGAGAGGCCTGATGGCTCCTACTCCACTCTGAAGATCCAGCCTGCAGAGCAGGGGGACTCGGCCGTGTACCTCTGTGCCAGCAGCTTAACCACAGAGCTGCAGAGTCACCCTCTTCCTGCTCTCAAACCCTCATGTGCTCACCTCTCATAGTTCCCAGAGTTTTGAACAAAGGAGTGACCCTCTTCTTTCCTCACCAAGGGGAATAAGTGCTTTGGAATTTTAATTGTTGTTCTCATCTTGGGATGTCAGGAAATTACCTTCAAAATTCCAGAACAGGTCACCTTGGGTAATAACATTCTGGCTGTGGATCTCTGTTATTTCTTTATACAGTTCAAGATTCTACAACTGAGATTGAACATCCAGGCTGAGTGTAAGGAATTGTGGAATATTCTGTAAAATATAAGATTTCAACACATTTACAATAAACTCCCTGTATTGAGTGTCACTGACTCAGAAAACATTAAGCTCTTGTGTGGGCAGCCCATGCAGAGCACTGTCAAAGCCCCATGCAGCCACCAGCCTTAAAATACATAAATTAGAACCCTTTGTAAGAACTGTCATTGAGATCAATTGACAGGAGCACCTGTCACCCTCAATAATGCACATTAAAGTACATCCATATATATATTTTTAGTATTTTTTATGTTCCTGCAGTCATTCTGTGTTTAATATCCTTCTTCTCTAGTCTATTTTTAATAGAAATTTAAATTTGGCTTGGTTTAATAAAAACCCTACTTGAGAAGGCATTAAAGAAAAGTGATTCAAAGAACATCTGGATAACAATTACAGTAGTCCCCTCTTATTTTGGGGGGATATTTTCCAGTGGATACCTGAAACTCCTGATAGTACTGAACCCCAAACATACTGTTTACCCTATAGATGCATACTTTTTCCCTTAAAGGAAGCACTTTATAGCATTTTTTTTGGCATGTCAGAATTGCCAGCATCGCTACTCTTGCGTTTTGGTCCACTATTAACTGAAAGAAGGTTGACTAGAACACAAGCACTGTAATACTGCTGCAGTCAACCTTGAGAGAGCTATTGAGTGACTAATGGCAAGTTGTACACACCCCTGCATGGAAATGGATGGAAGGAAATGGCACAAGATTTCATGAAGCTTATCAGATTAGTGTGCAATTTAAAACTTAGGAATTGTTTATTTCTGTAATTTACCATTTAATAACTTTGGATTGTACTTGAATGCAGGTGACTGAAACTACAGTAAGTGAAACTGCAGGTAAGGGGAACTACTGTATGTAAAAGTAAAATGTGTGATGATAAGAGCATGACAGGGAGCATCTACATGGATAAATAGCTTACCATTGTGAAATTTTCCTAATTTATGTCAGGTGGTATAATAGCACATGAAGGTAGACTGTGTTAAGGCAGAGAGATATATTGCAAACCCTAAAGTCACCACTAAAATAATAAGCATACTTATAGTTAATACACCAACAAAAAGAGGAAATGGAATTATTTAATTGCTCAATTAATATACAAAAAGACATAAACTGGAGAAAAGAACAAGCAAAAGATGGGGCTAATACAACAAATAACAAGATTGTGATAGATATTAATTAACTAGATCAATAGTCATATCAAGTCAAAATAGTCTCAATGCCCCAAATAAAAAGCATAGATTGTGATTTTGAGTAAAAAAGGGAGAAACCAATTGTATGCTGCCCATCAGAAAGGCAGTATAATCACAAAACTAAGAAGATAAAATGGAAAAGATATACCATGCTGACACTAATCACAAGAAAGCTGGAGCAGCAATATTACAATAATATCAGACAAAGTAAATTTCAGAGCAATAGAATATGATAAAAGGGTCAATTGATCAAGAAGAGATAGCAACCATATATATTTATGCATCTAAAAAGTTTCAAAACACAGGAGTAAAAACAAGGAGAAAAAGACAAATTCACAATTACAGTCAGACATTTCAACACCTGGCAGTAATTTTTTTTCCAAAGAAAAAATGGAAGAGACAGAAAGAAAGAGAAACATTGATGTGAGAGAGACACATCTCTTGGTTGTTTCCCGCACACACCCATACTGGATGCCAGGGATAGAGCCTGCAACTGAGGTACATGCCCTTAACTGGAATCAAACCCAGGACCCTGTAGTTCTCAGGGCAATATGCTATCCACTGAGCCAATCCAGCTTGGGCCACTCGTCAGTAGTTGATTGAACATCATGACCACTCCCCAATAAAATCAGTGAGGATATAGAAGAGAAAAACAACGTTAATGATCACCTCAACCTAACAGATATTTACAGTTCACCCAATAGCAGCAGAAAACACGTTCTATCAAATGTACATGGACCATGGACCAGGATGCTATAGACTTCGGGTATAAAATAAGTATCAATACATTTAACAGAATTCAAGTCATACAAAGCATGTTCTCTCACCATAGAGGAACTAAATTAGATATCAATAACAGAAAGGGTTCTGGAAAAATTCTAAAATTTGTAAAGGAAATGACAATGTTCTAAATAACCCATGAGGCTAAGAACAAATCAAAATGGAAATTATAAAGGGATTTTAACTTAATGAAAATGAAAATATGTAAAAATTGGTAGGATGCCACTAAAGAAGTATCTACTAAGGAACCTGAAAACTCAGAAATAATTCCCTACTCATTCTGAGGCCAGTCAGCACTACTATGGTACTCAATTACCAAAACAAAAACCTATAGACCAATATCCCTCATAGACATAGAATAACAATCCTTTTAAAATTCCAGTATATCAAAATGCAATGACATCTACAGAGGGTAACACATCATGACCAAGTGGGGCTTACCTCAGGAAAGTGCAGTTAGTTTAAGATTTAAAAATATGTCAATGCATTCAAATACTAAAAAAAGAAAAATCTTATGATCATCTCTATAGATTCTTACAAACATTTGATAAAAGCCAATAGCAATTCCTAATAAAAACTCAGTAAATTGGAAGTAATTAGAAAAAGTCCTTTCCCTAATGAAGTGCATGTATGAAACAGTTTATGGTTAATATACATTTTTGTAGGTACACTATGGTAAGTTAAACATGCGTATTGTAATCCTTAGATCAAACACAAAAAGTAGCACAAAAGGAGTGAAATAAGCATTCAACAGTGGGTTCTGGAAAAATAATCAGTGGTGCATATGGAAAAATAATTTTAATCTTTACCTCACTCCATCTTATAGGGCCCAGAAGCTAACCAATGGTGTTTATATTTTTAAGTGGTTGAAAAAGATTAAAAACCAGTATTTGAGACATACAAAATTTCTGTAAAATTCAGATTTTGGTATGGATACAGGAAGTTTATTGGCACGCAGCCTCACTCCCTCACGTCCACAGTGTCTCTGGCTGCTTTGGCACAGCTGTGGAGAGCTGAGCAGCTGGGACAGAAAACCGGAAATATTTACAGAAGACTTTTGCTGATTTTGCGAACTTGAGTATGAGTTGGGTCAGTATTCACAATGACATATAAAGCTCCTGAAAAAAAGCAGAGCAATTTCTTTTCATGTCCTTGGAGTAGCAGAGATGTCTTAGAGAGGACAAAAATATCCTAATCTTTAAAAAGCACACTTTTCTTTACAAATATTTTAAAATCCTGTTCATCAAAAGAAATCAAGAAATAAAAACATATCTGAGGAAGGGCATGCATAAAAAATATAAATAATTCTTGCAAATCAATAATTTTTAAAAGTGAGTAATTCAATTAAAAAAATTAAAATCAGTGAGCATATCAGTTGAATAAGGTGATCCCCCCACCACCACCAAAAAAATGATCTATAAGTAGGCAATTCCATCTTCATAGAGGGTTTATTTTCAGCCATGTAGGAGCATTTTTGGCAGATTGAACTCCATGGTTTGCCCTGCCCAAGAATTACCTTTGGTTAAAGACAGCACTTTGCCCAAGGTCCCTCTGCCCCCCCTTCCAAGGGCAGCAAATGCATGGTATACTCCTTCCAAGAACACTCATTGATGATACTAAGAATTTTATTCCCTTTTTGGAAATATGCATCATTATCACCTGGAAAGAGTGAACTTGAGACAGGCAAACATCACATCATCAGAAGCTGTGCAGGGTCCTGGCCATTCGGAGGCCTAATTCAACCAGAACCCAGCCAGCGTGGGCACAAGTGGCCGCGTGGGGGCGCTGTGTATCCACTGAGTGAGCTGCTGATGGGGCCTTGTGGGAGAGGGAGTATTAAGGGAGAGAGTCTTGGCTTGGCCCCTACATCAGGGGGACTATCTGATGAATCAGAGGTTTGCTGATCATATCTTCTCACATTAACTGCTGTGCAGGTGTGTCGGTCACAGCAGAAAACCACGAGTTTGGCCTTGTCTGGAGGTAAGGCTTCTCTTGGAGACTACATTTGGTGGAGACTGTGAGGGAGCTTCTTTCTGTGGGGTAGCCTGGATAATTCAAGTTAGGTGTAGAGCAAGGAGCCCTGCTTCTAGGACAGAGAAGCTGTGGGGATGACCACAGGCTCCAAACCCTACCTGGACAGCTCAGCACAGCCAGCATTACCTACAAAAAGGAAGATGGACAGAATGAGGAATGCCTGGAGCAGCTGAGCCTGTCCAAGAGGTGCAAGGGGCCTGTGGAGTCTACAAGGACAGTGGCATCAGAACAGTGACATCACAGGCAGGTCCTCCAAGCAGAGCAAAGGGAGGGCAAAGCCTCTGCTCTCTCACCCCAAACATCAGAGCTCAGAGCTGGGAGATGGCCAGTATTGTCCTATCTCGATTTTCCAGGGGCCCTCAGGTTCTCTGCTGCATGGTCCTCTGTCTTCTGGGGGCAGGTGAGTCCTGAGTTCAGGTGGGACATCCTTTGAACCTAAAGTTCTTAACTGTCACTGGCCTGTCCATGTCCTTTCTGTGCTGGTCTCCAGCTTCTGTCTGCTTTCTTTACAGGTTCCGTGGCTGCTGGAGTTACCCAGTCTCCAAGACACCTAATCAAAAGTCATGAGGGGAAGGCTGTTCTGAAGTGCCATCCTATCTCTGGACATAATACTATATACTGGTACCAGCAAGCTCCGGGACAGGGCCCCGAGTTTCTCATTAGTTTTTTTGAAAAGAAGGAGAGCCAGAAAGGAAACATCCCTGATCGGTTCTCAGGAAAACAGTTTGATAACTATAGCTCTGAGCTGGCCATGAGCGCCTTGCAGCTGGGAGACTCAGCCATATATCTCTGTGCCAGCAGCAGAGACACAGCCCTGCAGGGTCAATGGCTTTCTGTACTCAAACCTCCTTGTCCCAGATGAGGATGTCACAGGAAGGGAAGGGGCCTTAGTTTATTCCAGAGCTTCTAGTTCTTTTCTAAGACTCTCCCTGCCCTACTGAGCTCAGCCAGAGCTTTCCTGAGTGTCCACCCAGGTCTTCCAGGACCTGGCAATTCCTAGCACATGGCAG